AAAAAATATGCAAATCCATATAGTAATAATCCAAAACCTAACAAACTACCAGCGACTGTTATTGTATTTTTCCATGGTGCAATTTCAACATATTTTTCTAATAACCATATAACAAACATTGTACCACCAATAGCTTGAATAAATGGTATTTCAAACATTGGACCAAAAAACATTGTTGCTAATCCACTGCAAAAAGTAATAATTTGTAATAATGAAGCGCCCAATTGTCCTGCGTTTCGTCTAGCATAGAAACTAGAACTAAGAATAAGCAATCCAATAAAATAAACAAATGTTCCTAAAAATAATAATGGACGAGTAAATGGTATTGTTAATATATTTGATCGTTGTTGAATATGTAAAATACTTCCAATGAGAATTAAAATAAATGAAGCTATTGTAGCACTAGGAATAACCTTTTCATCATGAAAACCAATTATAATAATTAATTCTCCAACAAATAATATAAAACCTAATGATGCTTCTAATGCCATAACAGCTAAATAACCTGCTTCACGATGTTGTTGATAAATAGCTACAATAGTCCAAACAAAAAAACATATCCAACATGCTTTTAAAACAGCATGTTTATCTCTTGAAAAATGTAATTTAATTGTAAATGATAATGTTGCTATAAATGAAAGACAACCAAAGAAAATTAACCATGAATTATGATTTAATAACATTAAAGAGATTGATATTATATAAAAGAATATTTCCCAACAAATAACTGGTATATGAACTAATATTGGTAATATAAAAATACCAATAAATACTGTTAGCGCTATAATAACAGCAATACCAGCTAATATAGCTATTACATTTGAAAAAGATATAATTAATTCTCGTTGTTTCCATGTTGTGAATTCTTCTTCAGTTAATAATTCTTTGCTTCCGACAAGTTTTGATGCATGTTCAATATATAATCGTTTTTCATTAACAGCAATATCATTATTTAAAATACCACGTTTTTCTAAATTATTAATCACATCATAATATTGTTTAAGTTCATGGATTGATTTTGGTAAAAGATTACTATTATTGTCAGATACAACAATTGTTAATATACAAAGAATACTAATTAGAATTATCATCCAATTAGAATTTGTCATTATTTGTAAAAATTGAACGATGAAGTTTTATTGTTATCTATATTTTTTTTTATTCATCCAAAATTATGTATTGAAGCTGCGGCGTTCGCAATGTAAGGAAAAAAAATATGAATCGTGTCACAATATATTTGCTTTCCTTTTGCCACGTTGTCAGTCAAAGAGGAGTATTGCACCATAGATGAGTAATAATACATGAGTTATTCGATTTGTTTTGTTGAATTAGTTTCTAAGGACTTTTAAAACTTATATATTAAAATAGTATGTTGAATGGTAAATTAAGTTAATTGAATTTCATGATGTTGTTGAAGTGTCAAGTTCATAATATCTGTTTGATTAAAATGCTTGGTTTTTTTTCTTGTTTTTGATACTAAAGTCATGATATTCTTTTTTTATTCTTTATAGTCATGAGTAACGTATTATTCATCTATCCTTTACTCAATCTTTCTACGTGTGTACGCCATTGTAAAAGTGAAGCCTTTGGTTGGGATGACCAATTTAAATAACAAAAACAAATGAATATCTAGTAAACAATAAACAACTTGATGACTATTACAAAAAGAATATATGTTTTATTGATAAATACGAATTATTATAGACTATAAGATATCTTTTTTGTTGGCTTGACATTTTCTTAATTGTCTTATTTCGTGAATACTTTTTTTTCTCGATTAATTAAAATTTCTTATAAATGATGATTATCTGTTGGAATATGTCTTACTATCGCATAACTCGTATTTTTGAATTTTGATCTGAAACTTTGTGCATATAGAGAATTTAACTAGAAAACTCACAAGTTTTAAAAAAGTCATTTCGTGATATAAATCTTTCAAAAAATACATGTTGTATACAGTATTCATTAAAAAAGGATCTATATCTTGAAATTTTCATATCTCAAAGACACGTTATTCTGTATTGAAGTTAAAGTAATGTTATTTTAGTTTATTCATATTGGAGAAATAATCCTTTTTGGTTCAATATCTTCTCTTCTTTAGCATGAGTGCATGATAGCAGTACTATAGAAATTACAAAAACAAGATATCTATCGGCAAAAATAGGACTGTTTTTGTGACTGAATATCATCATTTAATTGAGAAGGAATCTTTGACTATATTTGAGCAGGAATTCGCGATTTATTTCACTCTTATTATTTGTTAGATGTGCTTATAATTGGATAAAAAATGCTAAATCTCTACGAAATTGAAAGAGCTCGTAATGAACGATGATGAATAAGAATGCGTATCACATACATAAGTTCTAATGTAATTGGTCGAAAACATGAAGTCATCGCTACCTGATAGAACTACATCGATGACATATATCGTGAAAGATTGATTCTTTAATTAATGCACAAAAAATGGCCTTGAAAGCTTTCTAATTTTTTTTAGGCAGATTTCCTCGTCTGGTTAAAGGCCAATGCATCTAAAATAAGAAAAAAAAATACCTTCATTTATAACAATATAAAAAAGATATTATGAAGGTAATCAATTTATATTTCCAAAGATCTTATTTGCAGATATAATTATATATCAGATGCCTACAAACTACTTTTCTATTATGAACTTCAAATTGAATATGCATTTAAATATTAACGTATTTTAATTTATCGATTATTATTCAAAAGTATATTTTGTACGATCCGTGATTGCTTAGAAATTTTTTGTAAATCACAGTTTTATATTGATTTTTTCAAAGCAATATTTGCAGAAATACTTGATAAATAATAACAAAAAAAAACTTAGACATTATCAATTGATAATGATCAATATGTAATAATAAGTTTTATTCTGGGATGTACAAATAAAATATTCGAATTCATCTAAAAGATTTCTTTTAATGCAAAGATGATTAAAATAAAAACTGTATAAATCGAACTCATTGTACAAAGTCAACTAATATTTACTCATATAGTATTCATTACAGTTTGATAAAAATTTATTGATATCCAGAGGAAAATATGTGACCTGAGTTCCAAAAAAAAACAGATCAAGATTTTACTTGTCTTGATCTGTCTAGATTATGTATTATTTCAAATAGAATTCAGTTGATATGAATAAATATTTGAATAGAGAAAACAATGACTTAGGTAAACTAGCTAACTATCTGTTATCACTAATACGTGTCTTGACTTAATGTAGAAGAAATCCTGACAAATATGCTTGAAACATGGCAAAATTTTAAAAAAAAGAATCAAAACAGAGAACAACATCGATTTGTAGATGTTGATTTTGATCGTTTTAATAGATTTCTATTGGTTAATACTTGATCCATTTGATAAGATATTGGTGCTAAAAGATCGTTTATTTTTTTAGCATCTTCTAATGTAATTGGTGTTTCCTATGTAGAATTAATTTCAGATTTGAAATAAGTCAATTCTTCTTTTTCTTTATTTACATTTTTATTTGATGATATTCTTGATTTAATTTTTTGAAACCCAGTTGCAATATGTGCAATAGTTTTTGTATATTTTTTATCATTTTGTCGTAATTGATTTGCTTCGGTGTAAATTTTATTAAATTGATCATATTGTTTAATAAATATATGAAAAAAACATGTATCAGCTTTATCAATTTCATTCATTTCAATTAATATTTATTCAAATAAAATTTCTGGTTGTTGCCATCGTGTTAAGGTAATAGTAGTACGTGTGATATATAAAAATTGTTTAGATAATTTAACATATTCATGTGTACCAATTAATTGTACAATCCATAAATTTATATCATGATTAGAATTAAAAACTCAAAGAAGGTAGGTGTGTGGGTGTTGATGAAGCGATTCATACATT